GGGGCACGGAGGTCCTCGTGCTCACAGAAGAACACCAAGGGAACCTGGAATGTGAAACACACAGGGTTGTTCCTGCCTTGGAAGGTTGGGGTGGGTGTGGTTAATGGTCTGGTGACCTTTGTGATATCTGTGTGGTGGAGACCACCATAGATCTTCCCCCAAAATCCTTACAGTAAGCTTGTTTTCTCTGTAGAACCCATTTTTATGGAAGGTTTCAATCATACTCTACAAAGAGTTTTGATATAGTCACGATTAATCTCTATTTAGCTTACTTTGCTCCTCAACAAGATTTATGAATGCTTTACTGTGAACATGGGATTGAGTTAATTGTCACCAGGAAAGTTTTCATCAAATATTCTTAATACACTACAGCAGATACTCAACACCCCAAAACTCAGGTAGGACTTGTTCCCCTTTTTGAGATAGTATCACTGTGTAACTTTGGCTGGCCTGGAACTCAAATGTAGATTGTATGGCCCCATAAAGATCCACCAACACATTTCCATAGTGCTGGGATTAAAGCATGCACTACCATGGGTGGCCTCAGGTAGGACATGTTTCTGATCTGGGCTCAGGGACACTGAAGATCCCTACCAGTGAATCAAGACCAGCAGATTGTCTTCAAGAACTCTAGCACACTAGGACAAAAATTGTGCTATGCTTAAATATGCCTAAAATAAACTCCTCGGTATCCAATTCCTGAAGTTTGAACCAATGGACGTTTGAACTGGCTAAGTACAGAGAAGAGTCTGTCAAGCAGAGCCAGTGTCCCTGCAGACACTCCACCGTATACATGGGAAGGACTTGGCTGCCCCAGCACTTAGATTTGTTTTCTCTCACAGAGTGGCTGACCCAGTATGGGCTGATCAATGGCTCCTTTGTGGGGAAAAATTAAAACAGGCCCAACTTTTTGTACAGGAACAGTTGCAACTAGGTCATATAGTGTTACAAGGAACAGGGCCCCTTGTTCCGGCCACCCGGCTAGCTTACACCTGAAATAATCACACAGAAAATGTATTAATTAAAACACTGCTTGGCCATTAGCTCTAGTCTACTATTGGCTAAATCTCACAACTTGATTTAACCCATTTCTATTAATCTGTGTTCACCACGAGGTCGTGGTTTACCAGGAAAGATTCAGCATGTCTCCATGGCAACTCTCTCACTCTGCTTTCTTCCTCCCAGAACTCAGTTCTGTCTTCTCCTCCTGCCTAAGTTCTGCCCTATCAGGCCAAGCAGTTTCTTTATTGATTAACCAATGAAAGCAACACATAAACAGAAGGACCTCCTATACCATTTCCCCTTTTCTGTTTAAACAGAAAAGGAAGGCTTTAACTTTAACATAGTAAAATTACATATAACAAAACAGTTATCAAGCAAGAATTACAGTTACAATATTTATATCTATTTTATCTTTTATCATAACGAAGGAAAACTATAACTATCTATCTAGTCTTCAACTCTTTCAAAGACTTCAGAAGGATATAATATTACCTAAGTAAACAGGAAATGCATTGTAAGCAACTTCCAAAACTCTAGAAATGACAGAGATATCTTGCTGCCTAGACAGTCACTCAAAGTTCTTCTGTACCATTGGGGCAACCAGTCTTCAGGCTACAGGCCCATAGTATTCAGCAGACATTTCCATGAAGCAGGAAATTTTAAAGACAGTTCAGTCACTTTCTTTTGTATCCTGCAGAATGTCTCGCAAACTCTTTCATGAAGCAGGAATCCTGAAGGATCACCTCACCTTTAGGCAAGTTCAGCAGTAATCTCTCTGCTAGTTCTTCATGTCCAGTTTATGTATCAGTCTGGGCAAGAGCAGTAGATTGGTGCTGCCAGGAGCAGATGTGTCTCATTGTCATGAAAAGCCATAAGTTATTAAAACATTTAAAATGCCATATTCTGTAGTCTTTGAAAGATATGAAAAATGCCTATCTAACTGAAATATATCTCTATATATCTAGAAAAATCTAACATGACTACAAGCTTGACTATTATAGATGATTTCCTATTAACCTATATTAATTATACATTACATTTTTAAATGAACTACACAATCACAATACCTTAATCAAGATCAGAAATACATATACATATAACAAAATTGACCTTAAATTTGTATCCATAAATCAAGATTTATACCAACGTAAATTATTCATATCTATATCAATATAGGACCTATTAGGCGTTGGGATTCCCCTATGCTTGCAATTCATAAAAAGGCAAATAATAAATTTTGACTGTTAAGTGATCTCAGGAACCATGCTACCATGAAAACAATGGGGGCCTCCAGTTAGGACTCCCTGCTCCTAATATGATTCCTCAAGGGCATTACATTATTATTCTTGACTTAAAAGACCGCTTTTTCTCTATTCCTTTACATCCTAATGACGTTATGATTTCAGCCACAATGAAGCTGACACTTTCAGGTTCTAGGGCCATGCATGTGTGGACAAGCTCTCAGGCAGAAGTGCCTAAAGGTCCCAGGGCCCAGTGTGACCCATATGCTGCATGGATTACATCATCCACATATGACTCAGCTATATGTGGTTACATCATCCAAGCTAAGTCCTTGCACATGCATGAGCGCCACCATCTGCATATGATGTAGCCACATCAACTCCCTGTGCACATGCGCTAGGCAGCTTTTAAAAGCTGGACACGCCATCTTCCTCCCTTCCCCCCTGCACACTGACTTCCCCATGCCTGTACACACCCCCTCTAATAAACTCCTAAACGGGTTTGCTGTGTGTTCCGTGTTTCCTTCTCACTCATGCCAGGTAATTTCAGACGATAAGGAACATTTTGCATTCTCTGTTCCTAGTTTAAACAATCAACAGCCAATGGCCCAACATCAATGGAAAATTTTACCACAAGAGATGAAGAATAGCCTCACTATATGTCAATATTATTTACACAAAGCACTTCAGTCAATGCTGATAAATTTCCAAGATATCAATCATTCATTTTATGGATGACATTCTCCTCACCTACTCGTCCAATTAATACATAAATGAGTGCTTAACTTTCATGGTAAATGAACTAAAAGAGCAAAATTTGAACATCACCTCTGGATAAAATGCAAAAGCAATCACTTTATAATTATTTGGGATACATTATTACTCAACAACAAATTCACCATCACCTTCTCAGCTCAAAACTTTCCCAACAATGTACCCTCAATTACTTACAAAAAATGTTGGAGCATGTCAATTGAGTCTATCCCTATCTGCCTGTGACTACTAAGAACTTGACTCCATTCTTTAAATTGCTTTCTGGAAGCTTTCAGTTTACATCTATAAGAAGCATAACATCTGAAGCAGAGCAGGCTTTTTGATTATTAAATAATGTGGATGCTAAAGCGGTAGCCAGAGAGTCAATCCCTTGCTTCCTTAAGACCAGGCCCGCCTCTGCCTCCTGAGTGTTGGGACCAAAGGTGTGCACCACCACCACCCAGCTTATCCTTCTTTCTTCCTCATCACCTGCTGGTAATGGTACTATAGGAATTCCATTATCCTTATCTACAAGATTATAGACCTGATAATGATAGGAGGACATGTATTAAACAACTTACTGGTAAAGAGACTACAGAAATCATTGTGCCATTAAATAAAACTCAGGTTGAATATTTGTTCCACACTGATATTGACAGCATTTGCATGTCACTCAGGATCTATATGTAATCATTATCCTAAAGATGGCTTTTTTTTTGAGTATCACAAAAGTTTATTTAGCAAGAAGGTTTTTGTTGTTGTTTTTTTTGTTTGTTTGTTTTGTTTTGTTTTTAATGAAAATGTACATGACCCAATTCTACACCCAAGTCCTTTGGGGAAGGATGTGAACTCCTCTGCTGAACAGCCATTGTTTAGACTCTTTCCAAGGCTTCTAACATGATGATGATTGTATGACCACCATGCCGATGCTATTCTGTTGCACACTAGTTGCCATCTCCACACACTCATCAATGACAAGATTCATAAAGGGATCAAAGCCCCGAAGTATTCCTTGTACATGTCTGCCACCATTTAACTTCATTCTTCAGTTCTGGAGGGTGGGCCTTGCTCATGGCGACTCTTCAGCGGGCTGGGCACAACAGAAAGGCTAAAGATGCCTTTTAAGATTTTTGGAAGAGGTCTGGGTGGTGGTGGTGGTGCATGCCTTTAATCCTGTGAGTTCGAGGCCAGCCCAGTCTACAAGAGCTAGTTTCAGGACAGTTACCTAAAATTGTACCCCCAAATCCTATAGAGATCACTTTTAATATTTTTACAGATGGCTCTTCAAAAGGACAAGGAGCTTATAATTTATATACAAATACCACATCCTCCATACAAGGATCGTACCCACTCCTGGTTGTATGCTTTGTCTTCATAAGTGTTCTGCTGCTATGAGATCAAGCAATCATGGTCTTCATCACCAAGGATACTCTTAGGTTAAAAAGCATTTAATTTGGGGCTTGCTTGCCATTTAAGAATTTAATCTATTATCATTATGGTGCGAAAGCATGAAGCATGGTGCTGGAAAAGTCACTGAGAGCTACACCCTGATCCAAAGACACACACACACACACACACACACACACACACACACACACACACACACGAGAGAGAGAGAGAGAGAGAGAGAGAGAGACAGAGAGAGACAGAGAGAGACAGAGAGACAGAGACAGAAAGACAACCTAGCATGGACTTTTGAACCCCAAAGTCTACCCCAGTGAGATACTTCCTCCAACAAGGTCAGATCTCCTAATCCTTGTAATCATTTCAAATAGTTCCACTTCCAGGTGACTAGGCATTCAAATATATGAGCCTATGGGGATCAGTCTTATTCAAACCACCACATAGCTCAACAGTCTGAACTTACTGTAATCAAGCAGCTCTTATTATGTTTCTTGGCATTGACTATTTTACCTGACTCAGAATATTGAGCTCAACCTGTTTCTCTTTCAGAAACTGCAGTCTTGAACCCACTCCCACTACTGCTGCTTACAATTATTTCTCTCCTGCCTGATGTCTATATGACAAAAAAAAAAAGAAATCAACATTTTTTTAATAACCCTTATTCATGCTAATTCCAATCCACCAAGTTCTTTAACATCTGCTAATGCTCAGACCAGCAATCTGGCTCATCAGCAGTAGTCTGCCTTTTCAGGAGGTTAAAAAATCTCATGAACTTCTTTACTTTCTCCCTCTTCTTTCACCCCACCCACTGCTCTCTCTTGGTGGAATTAATCCCCAAAGTCTGAAATCTAATGCAGTGGTTCTCAACCTTTAGGAAGGTTTATACTGGGGGCTGGAGAGATGGTTCAGAGGTTAAGAATACTGGTTGCTCTTCCAGAGGTCCTGAGTTTAATTCCCAGTAACCATGGTGGCTCACAACCTGGAGACATACATGCAGGCAGAAAAGTCTATATATAATAAATAAATCTTAAAAAAAGGTTTATACTATCCTTCCTGCAGGTTATAAAGGCTCATGTGGAATTGGCTGTATTACACCCATTTTGCTCAGAAAATATTTGCAACTAATCAACAGAATTAAGATGACTCTTCCCATTGGATCTTGTAATGGTTGCAGCCATATGGCTATTTTGTATTTCCAGTCCCAGGAATGATTACTGGAAGACAGAAAGAGGTTCCAAAATGAAAACTAAGTCACTATCTAATAACTGGTCTTTTCTAG